GTTCTCTGTTATTGCCAGAAAACATTTGGTTATTGGGAGGAGGATTATTTTCTGTAGTGGAGAACCTTTCTCTTCATTACCAAATGGATTATTAAGGTGAGGGGTTCTATATTGTTGCTCATTCTCAATATTAAGATAAGGGTTGTTGAACTTGGGTGAGACATAATTTAATCTAGGTGAAGTTAAATTATTCATCTTCATGTCCCTTAATTCAGTCCTCACAGATTCTAGTTGAGTTACAAAGGAGCTGTTAACACCTGTTATGGTATTGTTAAGCATATTGTTTTGTTGTATTAAAAGTTCTTTTATCTCATCAAATTGTTTTTTGCTCTTGAGTTGCTGTTCTATAATGACCTCTTCTTTTATTGTGGAAATTACATTATCATTGCTAGAAAGGGTTACAGCTTCAATTTTGTCTAATCTTTCTTTTACTGTACTAATTTCCTTATAGTTGTCACCAACCATAGTGATTATGGCGTCTAACTTACGGTCCATCTCATCATTACTTTCTTTAATAGGCACTCTCTTAGTTTGTAATGTTAACTTAAAAGCAGTCTCAATTGTATTTTTAAGACTCTCATGCACAGTATTCAAATTTTTAACGAGTGTATTATGATTAAATTCAATGTTGTGGTTAATAGTATGGAGATTACCTTGTACATTAAGGGTGGCGTTAAAGATGGAGCTTAATGAGGAAGAGCTTTGCGGGAGCGCTGATTGTAAGCCGCTCTCCAAGCCTGACCTATTTCAAAGACGTCCGCCCAGACCCGAGGATCGTCGTATTGCTGGGCTCTCTTCGAGGTTGAGCTCCTCTTCTTGCCTTCTTTCTTTGGTGGAGGCGGGAATAGTTCTCTCTTGGCGGTCCAGGGGTTCCACCCTTTGACGTAGCCCTCCAGTTCTTCCTTGGTGATCATACGCTGTAAGACTTTCTGAGAGTCTTGAGCTTGGTGGAGGATCTGTCTGAGCTCGTTGGTTGCTACTGAGCTTTTCTCTTTCTCAAATCTCGTCCAGATAGCGACGTGTTCTTTGATCAAGAGACGAATCTTCTCCTTCTTGGATAGCACCACAATTTCGGGGCTGTTGGGGCGTTTCGGGGTATCCTCCAAGGAGGTCAAGGGATCGTCTAGATCCATCGCTTCCTCTCTTGTTTTGTTCTGAGAGTCGTTGGTAATCGGGGAGCTGGTTGCCTCGGCTGTCTTCTTCTTTATCTGTAGCATGCTGAGTTGGCGAACTCTCTCTTCGAGAGGTAGTGGAGCTCCTCGGTCTAGTTGGTGCTGGGAGCGGTCCGGCAAGGTCGGGTCGCAAGGATCTAGTAGACATGATCGATGTGATGTAGTGTAAGTGAAAAAGTCTTAACCAGGGTTCTGGGTAGCTAGGATTAGGGCTTACAGTTAAGTAACTCGTCTAGTTCGTCGACAGAGGTATCCTCCGGATTGCCGATGTTATCGGTAGCTGCTTGGTTGTTAATCGGGACTATCGCCAAGGTAGTAGTGTTAGTGTTGGCAAGAGTAGTTGAAGCTGACACTGTAGTATGAATGAGTTGATTTACAAGACAGTTAGTGAATTTACTGGGGTGAATGGGTACGTTAGGCTTACTTTTAAGCCGTAGTTTTTTCTTGTATTCTCGGTATTCGTGAAGGGTCTCGTTTACCAGTATCTTGGCAGCTAGGGTGTCGTCTGGCTCTCGATGTATTCTAGCGATAGCGATCTGAAGTTGTTCTTCTCGGCTGAGTAGTTCCCAGTCGCTCGGCTTGTAATTCCTGATGAATTCCTCTTTCCTGAGTTTTAAGAATCGAAGGTAATATTGAATCAGTTCGGAGTTTTCGCGAAGATTCACTGATAAAAGAGGGTAATGGAATGAGAACGGTGGATAAGTATTATATTAAAAATTATAAATTCCTTTTTTTTTTTTGGGGTTTTTGAATTTTATAACAGATTTTTTCGTAAATGTTTTCTTTTATATAGGTAGGTGAAAGAAAAAGGAATTCGGTTGATTTGCTCGATAAGGAAGATCTCAAGAATGTAAGATCTTAGAGATATAAGTCGAGAGTTCGATATGATTAACCGAGGGTTTTAAAGGGTGTAAGGTATTTCCTTCAGGTGAAGTGGGTAATCGGTGATAAAGAGAGATATATGATAGGTTCTTTCACGATCAATGTGTAGAGATCGTTAAGGTCAAGCGATACTGTGAAGATGGCTTGGGGAGACGGGTGAGGATGGGTTCGTCCAATAGAAGGATTTCCCGGCCAGACCCCCAGTTGTCAGACGGGGTGATGCCAAGATCGATGATCTTCTAGCTACACCCGCCGATGGGGTTGGTTTGGTTGAGGTAGTTGGAAGAGTGGAGAGAGAGGGGCCCAGGTCTTGGATTTGTTTATGATGCCCTCGGGTGCTAAACTCAAGTATGCCGCTTATAGGTAGCGGTACTCGAGAAGGCTTATCGGCAGGTCCTAGCTGAGCCTAGGGGTGGTAGTCTGCGCTGGGATGGGAGTAGGATGGAGGCTTCTGAGGAAAATACTTACTTAACGGTAAGTAGTCCCTCTTCGGTGGTTACTACACGGCCTAATCCTCCTTACTCGAGTGACTTTCCAGACGGGGTCCTTGGCTTAATTTCCGGTACGGCGACGACGGCAGGAGGTAGTAAGCGTGGTGTCTGTGTTATGAGATTTGAGGAAGGGTTTTGTTAGTTTGGTGGGTTTGCAAAAAGAGGAGCTTGTAGATGAAAAAACGGAAAGCGGGTGAAATTCTTGATGATCCTCATTGAGCTCTGACTTGACCTGGCTTTTATGTCCCTCGGGTCCGTCGTCGATGGCGTGTGGGAGCCGAGTTCCTATTCTGAGGTTTGAGGTGGTTATGTCGGTTCAGTCGTGAGGTCATGACTGACGATGCCAATCCTAGGTATTTCCTTGAAGTGTGACATCCTGTGAAACTGGATGTCACACTTCGAGGACGCGCGCTGGAGATGACACTTACGGTATAGCAGAGTATTGTGACTGCTGCGGGGTCTCCTGCGCGAGCTCCTGAGATCCGTTTTAAACGGTTAATTCTGGTTTTTATTTTATTTCATTATAACTTTTAAATGCAATTAATTTTTATTTATATATATATTTATGAAACAAGGCTACTAAAGTCATTAAAACAGGTCAGATTGTCCTGTTTTACTAGTGACAAGCTGACAATTTCAAACTGGACCAGGGTTGTTCTGGTGGATGGCTGATGTAAGAGGATATTCTGAGTTTGCTCAGAAAGGTTATTAAGGTTAGGGATAAACAAAACAGGTTACATGACCAAGTGGCTTGTCAGGGTTCAGAGAATATGTGGTCTAAACTGGTTACTTGGTTATAGTTGCTGAGCTACAAGGTTGTACATGTTGCACAAGCCTTGGAACCTTGTTTATCTTGAGTTCGCATCCAATGAACTTTGTTTATGTCATCAGCTGATTTGGTTCTGTAACTTTAAATGTCTGTAACTCTTTAGTTATTGATTATTTTACAGAATTCTTTGTTTTTTGAGTATGTAGGTACACAGTGGTATGTAACTACATGAATTTTGTTTTTATTTTCTAAGTAAAGTAAAAAAAGTTTGTTTTTATTTTTAAAGGCCTTTGTGGTCATTTGCAGGCTTTTGACCATATACACTTTTATATATAGATTTTTATGCTTAATATTAATTTATTATTTATAATATTTTTTCTTGGGCTAGTCTCGAGACTTGACTATGAGTTGTAATTGTTATTTTTATTATTTTATGTTTTGAGGCCTATGGGTATGTATATACCTCAAGGCTGACAGATACCAATGACACTGAGTAGTGGGAAAGGTAGGAAAAGTGAGGTCCTTCTGGTTGATAAGTGTTGGCTGGATCTGGGTCTGGTTGTTGGTGTTCTGTGTTGGTCTGGAGTCTGAAAATCCTCTGGAAGCAGAATCAACAAGCTCAGAGAGGATTTTCAAAGTTGGATTATGTAATCTGGCATGTACATGTGGTAGAGGGAGCTGAAACCTGAAGGTTGGAATAATTCTTGGAGTACTGTGAATTATTACAAAGTCAATGAAGGAATGGAGTTGGGTAAAAGTGATCAGTGGTGACTAGGGTTAATTTTACACCAGGAATCCATTTCTGAAGTCAGAATGGTTGAAAGTCTTAAGATAAAAAAGATAAGATAATATTTTGAATAGAAATGGGCAGTTTTGGCAGTCTTTTGGCCAGCTTGGTTGGCTCTAAGGCTGACAAGAGGTTTGACCAGGATATGCTTTTGACAAGCCTTGCAAGATTGAGCCCACACGCCAATATTTTTCTTCATGTTAGGCCACCAAAACCGTAGCTAATTGCAGTGTCTATAGGTTTCTTCCACACCTCAATGGCATAATTCCTTCTGGAGCGTTTCCAGGACAAAGTCTTCATTTTTCTTGGAGGATATGACGAGCTGAGGAAATGGTGTGTTTTGTCTTTTTAACTTGCCATCTGAAATAAAAAAGGTGGCTGATTTCTTCAAAATGGTTTCCCATTCTTCTTTGGTACAGTCCTTGGGTCAATTTAAGGTGAACAAATATTCTTGGAGATTGGCCCAAATTCCTTCCTGAAGAAATTGTGTGTTGGCCACCCCCAAATTCAAAGAATTGACCTCTTTTCAAGCCAAAACCTGCGTGTGGTTTTACCCATGCTTCATCTTCATCAAATTTGGTAGCAGCTGGTTCGTCCTCATTGGGTGGACGTCGACAAAGGCCATCTGGCATGGTAAATGTTTTTGCGGGAACATGTTTAAGGTCAAAGGAGAAGAGTTGAATAAAGGCTACCCAGCGGGTCATTGGCGCATTCGGAAGGGATGGAGAATTAATCATCTCAATGAGACTCTTTGCGTCGACTAATAGCTCAAAATGTTGACCCCAAAGCTGTGATTGTAATTTCTTCAGGACCTTGGCTACTCCGCAGAGTTCAAGTTTGGACTGAGAATATCGTGACTCCACCGGCGTAAAGACTACTGATTTGTAAAGCACTGGGCGGTCCCGGCCATCCATTTCTTGAGTGAGTACGGCTCCTGAAGCAATGTAATTGGAATCTACTGTGAGTTTAATCTTTCCTCCTTTGTCAGAATAATCAATTTTTTTTAGTGTTATGTCCTGCCCCACGATCTTTTTCAGGATGTCGAAAGAAGCTTGGCATTTGTCTGTCCATTCCCATTCTGTGTCCTTTTGTGTGAGTTTTTGCAAAGGAGCTGCCAGATTGGAGAAGTCCTGTATAAACATTTGTACAGTGGGTGGACTGTTATTTTTGGCTGCTTGTTTTGGATCCCAGAGCTTCAAGGCACCAGATTGAAGTCATGGGACTTGGTCAATTGGTGCAGAATATGTCCCAAAAAATGAATATGAATAAATAAAAACAAAAAACAAAGTTTCAAAATTTGTGAAAAATAAAAAAATAAAATTCATTTTTCTCAAAAGATTTGAAATTCATTTTGGGGGGATGAGAGTGCTGAGAGAAAGGAAGACTGGGATATTATAAGAATGATTATGAATGAAAATTTTGGAAAAATTGCTTTCCAGATGGCTTCAAAGAGCTGTTGATTGGGGCATTCACCAGCCCACATTGCAGTAAAGCACTAGTATTTACTGTTTTGGCTCCAATCTGGACAACCAACCTGGCCAAACCTTTTTTGGTTCCAATTTTTTTCATTTATAATCATTCTTCCCATGTTCCCCTCTTTCTTTCTCTCAGCACTCCCACTCCCCCAAAATGAATATCAAAGCTTTTGAAAAAAATGAGTTTTATTCTTTATTTTTCACAAATTTTGAAAATTTAATTTTTGTTTTTATTTTTTCATATTCATTTTCTGGGACCTATTATGCACCACCTGAACAAGTCTCATAACTTCAAGTCTGTTTTTCGGAACTCTGGGGTCCAAAACAGGCAGCCAAAAATAACGGTCCACCCACTGTACATAGAAACAAACTCCAAAAAATCCTCGAACTTCTGTGGTATTGGTTGGAGTCGGCCATGTTTGCACTTTATTAAGCTGTTTCTTGGAAATTATTTGTCCGTCTTTACAGACTACGTGGCCTACAAGTTCTGTAAGGCTTATGCTACTTACGATAATGGATTGTAGTGCTATAGCCGTAGACTAGAATGAATCGAGAGGAATTAAGATTAGTTTTCTATCGATGCTCAGGACAGAATGCACTTGAGGCTTACTCGAGCTTCCTGTAGCTATCTGCCAGGGCAA